AACACCTGCTTTCACAGGTGCCCCCTGCGGGGCACGACACCGGACCTCACTTAATCCCTTTACCCCTAAGCTGACATTGCGGTGGAAGCTACGCGCTTGCCGGACCAATCAGCCGCCTCCCTTTCATCACCTGACCTCATTCTCTGCGGGTCGGTATGCGCGAGAGGGCGTGATCTCGTGGAAAATGTGTGGCTGACCCAACGAGCACGTAGCTTCCACAGCACTGTCAGCTTCGGGGTGAACGGGGTGGGGAAAGCAACTAGTCGGAATTTTGAGCGACAGGCTAATCTTCTAGGGGGACAATGGCTGTGTCCGGGCTACACAAGCGAGATTCCGAGCAAGAGGGGACTCCCTTCTTTCCGACTTCTTGAACTGTTTGGTACAATGCGCGATTTATGAGTTGAGGAGGAAAGCTAAACAGAAAACAGTTGAAAAAGCGTGATTTCTGGAATTTCGTTTCCGTGTCCCTCTAAAGGGCCCCTTGGAAGTAAAATAAAAAAAAAAAAAAGTTGTTTTTTTAACAGTCTGGTTGGGACACGCGTGTCAAAATTAATTTTAAGCAAAAAAATAATTTTAGAGCAATACTGACGGCGCGAGACGCGATTTAGTCGGCAGTCACTTCCTCTCCGCAATGACCAGTGACGTCATGGACTTTGCGCGCGGAATTTCGAATAAAGCTCTCGCTGTCAATATTGCTGTTTTTTTTTTTTCTTCACGTAAAGTTTATCTCTTGACACGCGTGTCCCAACCAGATTGTTAAAAAAAAAAAAAACATGTTTTTTTTCTTTTTAGGGGCTTTTTGAGGTGCGCTATTAACGACATTTTTGCAAAAGCTTTGCCGCTTCTAAAATTTTCAGTTGTTCCAAATTTACCGCATTTAATTTTATTAGTAGTTTATAACTATTTTCTTGTGAAAACTGCCTTTCGCTACGTATAGACTATTTTACATATTTGAACTGGTCGAGGCAGCACAAAAACATTTGGCAAATATTGGTGTAAAATTGAGCAACTTGGCCCAAGTTGGGCCGGCTTCCCTAATATGCACCCAATATTAGTAAATGTCGGGGAAATCTTGTTATAATCCACAAAAAGTATACAGATATGTGTGCAATATTGGTAGATATAGTAGGATAATATTGGTATAGCTGTCCAATATTACAAATATTATCATGTGCCCAATATTAGTAAATATTGGTATAACCTTTGCATAGTTGTTAAATATTATCCAGTATGCTCCCAATACCGGTGAATATTGGATCAATTCAGATAGAGCTGGACAATATTACCAATATTATCCAGTATGTGCCAAATATTGGTAAATATTGGGATAAACTTTGTATAGCTGTTGAATATTACCCAGTATAAGCCAAATATTGGTAAATATCAGGGCTGGGCAGGGATCGCAATACGAATGTATCGCGATACTATCTTAGAGATACTTTTGAGTATCTGTATCTCTGTATCGAAATACATTTCAAAAATGTATTTGTATCTCAGTAGTGGAATACCTTTGCTATGTATCGGCTGTAACGCGATACTCGGCCAGGCAAAGGTATCTCGCGGCATTCGGGGGGGGGGGGGGGGGGGGGGGGTTGGTTGGCAGCGTTTTGAAGGCGTCACCAAAAGATCGATGAGATGAAAAGGGCCCAAACAAAAAAAAACCTATTTTTCGGAGAATGTCAGTTTCGCCTTTGCTGTCCGCTTTATTTTACAGCAGACAGCGGTTTAATGTCCTGACGGCAATCGCCAGGTTTCCTTTATAGAGAGGATGCTGTGAGACGTCTAGGGTTCACTCCTTTTGTGAAACGATCGTCCTTCTTTGTCCTCTATGGGGTTCACTGGGGAACATAACGGTTTCTTATCCGTATCAGGAAAAGCAACTATGGAGGAAGAGGAGTTCGAGACGAAGAGTGAGAGGAGGTATCAGCTCACCATTTTCAAAATGGAAAATGATGAGGCGATACTCGCCGCCTGTTCGCACCCCTTCTTCAAACTGCGATGGACATCCAGCGAAGTGGTAAACACTTTCGACTTTGAGAACTTGCTCGTACGCACGGGTTCTACGACTTTGAAGATGGCAATTCTTCGGTTGCGGCACGTTTTGTACAGACTCACGTGAGAGGCGAGGTCTTCCGCTATCTTAATATTCCGAGAAAAGATGTCTCCATGCTCCAAGAATTTCCGGCCATGAAGGCGGTATTTATTAATACGAACTGATGCTCCTCTGCAGGGGTGGAGAGACTTTTCTCGTTCGCGAGTCTTGTACTAAAAACGAACCGTCGCTGTCTCGGTGCAGAACTGTTTGAGAAGCTTTTCTATACTCAAGTGCAATTAATTTCATTTTCTCCTGTTTGTGAGAACCTTTCATAAATGAAAGAGATGTTTTTTTTTTTTGTTTTTTTTTTTCGCTTGAAAATTCAGGTTTGTTCGTTCCTTGTGCCGCGTTTCGGACTCGCGCATTGTGGGTCATTGCGTAGCTTATAATGCATTCTTAAATATTTTTGCGGAACATGACGTCATTTAAGGAATAAAAGTATTTCAATATCTGTATTTCAGTATCTGTATCTCATTATCTGTATTCTCGGATACATTTTTTTTCTTTTTCCAGAGTATCTCCGAAATATCCCCATACAACAAAAAGAAATGTATCTCAGTATTTCTATTCCAGAATACTTTGTAAATATACCTCAGTATTTCTATCCCGGAATACTTTTCTGAGTATCTCTGCCAGGCCTGGTAAATATTAGGACAATCTTGGTATAGCTGGACAATATTACCGGTATTACTCGGTATGCGTCCAATATTGGTAAATATCGATAGAATATTGGTTCGTATTGGTATTACCTGGTTGATTTATTTCCAAAGTGTTAAAAAGTGCACTAATGACTCTATGAGCTCCGTACAAAATATGCTGTGTTGATTGTTGTTGATGTGCAATTGTATCTTCCTGTACTTCTTTAATGTACTTTGTTTTCGCCTTTTCGCCTGCTGTGCATTGTATAGCGGGTGGTAGCGCCACGTCAGGCACAGTTAGTCGGCCTTTTGCCCTGTTACTTTAGACGTAGTGTCTAAATAAAACCAATTCAATTCAATTGAATACTAATTTTCACCTCAAGAAAAAAAACAAGTTTTGCTCACAGTTCATACGCTGCGCGAAGTAGTTCTTAGGAGATTTGGTTGTCAGAGGAAGAAGCGATGATTTTGGCGTTTGAAACGTATACGTCTTGATAAGATAACATATATTTTATCTAGAATGCACGTTCACCCGTGAGCCAGGCACGTAGCCAGGGGGGGGGGGGGGGGGGAGAGGGGGCTATGGGGCCCGATTACCTTCTAAATTACCTAATAATTCCCATACAAAATTACTGGTAAATCTAAGGGATCACAGGTAATTTCGTAACTTGTAACGGATTATGTACAATCTGAATGGCCCTGTATCCTTTATAACAGGTGGTAGCTTGCACCACCTAACTCCGTTCACTCCTAAGCTGACACTGCGGTGAAAGCTACTTGCTCAACTGACCAATCAACCGCCTTCCTTTAGTTACCTGATCCCGCTCTGTGTGGTTATTGGATGGCGCGTGATCACCTGGCGAAAGACGGGAGTACGACTGGTCTAACAATCACGCCTCCGCCGTACTGTCAGTTTAGGAGCTAATTGAGTTATAGCCTCGCCATCTAGGAGGTGTTGGCTTCAGCCAGAGGGAGCCTTCCTCGCGCGGTAGAAACGCAACGTAGACTTACTTTTTTTTTCTTCTCTGTCCTTCTTAGTGCAGCACGGGGGTTTATACTATATGCATAATGTGAACATTAGTTCTTTTGCTTAGGGGCGGGGGGGGGGGGGGGGAGGGGGTTGTTTATTCCCTTTGTCGGTGAAAGGTCAGGAACGAAGTGTAAGCTCCTCTCACCACTTTCCCCTTTAGCAGAGCACACGCTGGAGAGGCTGCGACTTCCTCTACAGCGTTCGCTCTGCTAGAGTGGAGAAGGTGATAGGAGCTTCCAATTCATTCTCGATCTTTCGCTGACAATAGTTTTTACTGTCGAGGAAAGTATTTGTAACCCATTTGGACACTTCACGCCTTGCTACCAAACCTGGCTTTTTTTTTTTTTTTCTTGAAAGAGAAATACATTTTGCTTATTTCCAAGATCGATCGGGGGGAAATTTTTCTGTTTTTTGAATATAACCAATGTCGCAAGTATCAGTAATATTTTTGCAATCCCTTAAGACATTTTTTTAAAGAGATTGGCGAAGAAGACTGTACGCATGTAAATTTGGCGAACACGTCAGCAGTAAGTACGTCATATTCCATAGCGTTATACTCCGTTTGATACTAGAGTTTTAGGGAACCGTTTTTGCCCATACGATACGGTACGATGGGCCCTCCGGTACGAACTGCGCATGTGCGAGCCTTCTGCGACAACGCATGCGCAGTTCGTACTGGAGGGCCCATCGTATACCGTTTAGGATGGGCAAAAGCGCTCCCCTCAAACTCTTAATGAAGTCCGACCGAATCGAACGCTGCGATCCGATCGATCCAATCAAGCAGTGCCAAAAGTATAGTCACGGCGCTCTTTATGTCTTTGTGTGTTTGCTATACCGCTCGCTGAGCCAATCCCGCACAGTGAATACCCCGGGATCGTGCGGTTGTTTATGTGCGTGATTGGTTTAGCCGGTGATAAGCGAAAGCACAAAGACGACGAGCGCCATGACGATGCACTTTTATCGTTGCTTGATTGGCTCCATGGGATATAGCGTTGGTTGCGGTCGGACTCCACGTGAAGTTGAGTAAAGACAAGCAAGATAATTTCTCAATCCGGAAAAAAAAAAGTTTTGCCACTCCGTTCTATATTGGAACAAAACACTCATCCACCGAAATGCACACAAAAACAACGCATGAAAACTACACGAATAGAGCGAAAGCACGTTTACTTCCGAGTCATGTCTGATGCGGTTGAGGGGACAAATACAAAAGCACTAAAATGGAAACATGCGGTACACTTCACGTAAACGCTGGCCGGGAGGCACGCTCCCTAAAATGTTCACATCCTTCATGCCGGAGCACATTGTTGACGTTGTCACTTCTGCTGCTACACCACTCTACCTGCACGTTTGGAGCCAACGACGATTTGGCTTCCTCCAACAGGGCTTCGTTACACCAGACCCTGTCAACGCGCAGAGTCTTCAGTCTGGGACATCGACAGCACAGAGCAAGCAGGCCGAGATTCGTCACCTTCGTCCCCACGAGACATACTGTGAGAAGGTTGGCGAGCTGACCGCTCGTCAAGGCAAGAACGGAGGAATCCCTGACGTTCGTCCATCCAACGTACAGTTCTCGCAGTTCTGGTAGGTTGAGGGCCACCAACTCCAAGATGACGTGGCTACCGAGGGTCGTCCCTTCGATATCCAAAACTTGAAGCGAGGGGCACACACGCAGAACGTGCCCGAGAGGGAATGAAGGGTCTAAAAACGGGTAGCCTTCGAGGTACAGCTCTCGCAAAGATGAAAGCATCGAAGGGGATGCTTGGTCTACACGAGATGCGTCGTCACTGACGAAAAAGCATCGTCCCAAGTCGAGCGTCACCAACGCACAGTTTTCTGCTACCTTCGAAAAGAGCCTCTTGATATCCACTATACAGTTGCGGAATGACAGAACACGCAGTTTTGCGGGGAAATGTTTGAGCTTCGAACGTCGTTTGCGGTACGGATCTGCCAGGTTGAAGCCTTCAAGGGAAAGCTGCTGAACGGAAGGGCAGATCGAGCGCAGCCGCTCCATCTTCGTGGACGAGATGAATATGTTCCATTGTTCTTGAATGCCCTTGCTGTGCAGTGAAAGACCGTCAATCCACGGTAGAGCCTGGGCGGGACATTGTTTCAGGAACTGCTTCATCTCCGTAGGCGATACGGTCAACACGGCGACTTTGCATTTTTCCGACGTGGTAATGCGCCATAGGGGGTTGAGTCCCTTCTGAAAGAGTAAGCAACGTCATTGCAAACCAGTTCGTCAGGCGGTTGCATCACAGTGTTGTCTTATCTCTTTAAACCACCAATATTGAGATTTTATGGTGACCAGTTTAAAGCGGCACGAACAACTCAGTGCCCAGGCCCCGGAACAGCTGTGGGTCGACAGAAAATGAACTAGGGCATCATGAAGCGATATCTTACTTTTTGTTCCAGGAGTTCATGGGCTGGCGGCAGCAGAGCCGAAGTGCCTTGAACGGGGTTGTCTTGCGCTGGGTCCCTACGATTCAAGATCGCTTTGAGAAGGCTTAGAACCTTTCCGTCTGCCATCTTCGGCCTGCGGATGCCGCCAGCCGCCACAGTTTCCTGGAGACGCGCAACTATAGATACTCTCTTCAGGCGGGACAGGACACGACTGTCCTGGCGGTCCCGCGGCCGTGCGCGACGCGGCTTATCGTTTGTGAGTCAGGGTGGCAAACCGATGGCACGTCAGGGTGGCAAACCGATGGCAACCATGAGGGCACGCGCGTCGTATTGGTGAGCACAAAAAGAAAAGAAAAATATATATCGGCTGTTGTCACTTTACTTTTCCTTTCGAGCCATATCGGAATCGTATCTTCTGCACTACACATGGCAAGAGTTTGAACTTGTTTGGGCTGCGGTGACCTAGATTGACTGCTCACCACGGGACAACGCCTCCTAGATAAGAAAGCCTTGAAGCTGAATTGTTTCTGCGTCACTAGAAGAGGCCACCATAGGGCACAGACTTGGCATAAGTGCTGCGTCAGAGCTCGGTTAAGGCTCGTGTTCAATAACTGAGAACACGAGTTCAGGCCAAGCGCCAACGGCCGTAGTCGTATCCAATCTATATCCTATGGCGGCCTCTTTTAGTGACGCGGGAAAATTCAGTACTAAGGTTTTTTTGTTTTTTTTTTATCTAGGAGGATTTGACGGAACCCAAAGGCCACAATAACACAATGACCACCGAGCAAAAAAAAAAAAAAAAAATTATGTGCTAGCAGGTTGTGGCGGGAAGTAATACCTTTATAGAAAAGGGATCGTTGGCAGACTGCTTTGCGAGCATTGTCCGGAGCTTCGGATATCGTGCTTTTTTGAACTATACGAGTGCTTCAGTTCAGACTGTTTTCTTTGCCTGTGGCCATCTTTCATTAGGTTTGAGCGGTCGTCTACGTTTGGCCTTAGTATATAACCCGCTGTGTTTAATACCAATATTTCTTTGTTTATTTATTGATACAGTGCATTAAATACCGAAACAGGTGTGAGGTAATAAGCATAACATACGTAAGTATCTACACGCGATATACGTAAAATACCATGCATACACACAATAACAAATACATCACGCCATTCTATAGCACTTCAGGTAACGTTGCCTAGACACTTAAACGAAAAGGCTACGTGATAACAGGCGGTGTGTAAATAGTTCTTCTAATTGAATAGCGCAGTGTCATCCTTATAGGTTCTGCACTGTTAAAAGAACCGGTCGCCGTGACTTTCCCTTGAACTGTCAAGGCTATGAATGACGCAGCGCTATTTTATTCAATACACTGTTTGTAGACAATAACGTATCATAAATTTTTTAAATATATTTCATACTTCCATAAAAAGCAGCATAAAAATATTTTAAAATATGAAGTTATATCAAAGGGACTGCGCAATGCGCATGATGACGACACTGCGCAGCTAATTGAGTGACGTAAGGCTCTACTTTAACACATTTTAGTTCATTACCCGACTTAATGCGATGATTAGCCCATATATAAGGTCCCCCTGGCCGTAAAACTCACCTGCATGACCATATTTGTGTAACTTTCACGGCTTAGGAAAAAAGAAAAGAGTTTGTCAGGTATAAAACAAAAAACCGTGACCCGTTATATCGATAAGTTGCTCATAGCTGTTTTTGGCTTCTACCCTAAGTCAAGCCATCAGTTTCGCTCATTATCGCAATCTTTCCAAGTCGAATAACGCGTTATAGAGATATTGAATCCTACCCCGAAACCACTTCCAAGAGCAAATGCAGTGAAAGCTCAGTTTGGACGCTAGCTCTTCCCTTCTGACTTGCCGAAGAAAGTTTTAATCGAGCCTATACTATCAGATTCAATAGTATGAACTATAGCACGTGAGCGGACAAGTGCTTTTGTTTCGTATAGTTCATAGTTTCCTGGTTTGCTATGGGCCTGGTGGCGTTTCGCGGGCCTACATATGAGGAGAAGAACAAGCGTACACGCCATCAATATCGGACATATGTAAGGCCAGGGTCATACGCTCTTAGCAGGCGCTTCTTCCGTCGCACGAGCCAGAACGCGTCAGCAACGCTGAGCAAGTCCATAGCTTCGCGTATACACAGCAATACCCGCTCCAACTCCATGAAACAGGGCTGGCAATATTGTAAAATAAATAAATAAATAATAACACGGAGGTGTGAAAAGCAGGGTGCGAGTCATCTTCGCGCTCCTTGTGAACACTCTTTCAACGTTCTTATCGTCACAATCTCGCTGGCTGCGAAGCGCGAGCAAGTTCGTCTGCCTCTTACGCAGGAGATTGCAGTGACGTCAGAACGCCGAGTTCTGATTGGCTCTGATTAGAAGAATATTGGGTAACCTCAATAGGCCAGCTGCAGTGAGCCCTACCCACTGTCCTTCCAATCGAGCCAATCAGAGCTCGGCGTTCTGACGTCACCGCAACCTCTGCGCAAGAAGGAGACGGACTTGCGCTCCGTATATGCTCGAGAGTCGCCACGCCCTGCATTTTTAAGTTGCCGCTTTTCACTGCAGCATACGTGATGGCCGAATGCACACACATTACACACACATATATATATATATATATATATATATATATATATATATATATATATATATATACACAACGGGCATGGTGGCGGGAGGCCGAAGGCGTGGGTATATAACTGAGAAGAAAAAACCCTTAGTGAAAACAGCATATATATATATAAATACCCATGTCACCCTACCAGACTCTGCGTACTTCCTGGTTTCGGGTCATTGAACTTCATTTCACGTACAGATCGCGCACACCTATAGCGAACAAACAGGGTTCATTCAAGCAAAACGAAGTGAGAGCGCGTGAACTCGGTATTGCGGGGTAGAACTCCCGCACACGCCGCTGTATCAATAGCCTGTTAGAGCAGCTGCCTCATTGTTAAGATTCGGTTCGTGGCCCCGTTTTCTGTCGTATAAACGGAGGAGCCGCGGTTCCCAACTTGATTCCGCACGAAAGATGCGCCTCCTTCAGGTGCTCGCCGTTCTGCTGGGCATCGTGGCGGTGCACAGTGGTCCATGCGGTAAGCTATAGCTTTTCCGCGCGCGTCAAAGGCTCACAGACCGTATCCTGCAACCATTCCTCTACTCAGCCTCAGCTCAAAAGGCAACTCCGCTTCATTTCTGATATTTCGAAAACTATGTAGCCTTCTTCAGTATCATATAGGAAGACCCCATGTCAAATATTACAATCTAATTACGTCTATACATTTAATAAAACGGCCAGCAAACTTTCAAATCAGCCAAGTCGCCGAAATCTGTCAGCGTGCGACGTGGGGCGAAATATGGGCAAGCCGAAAAACAACTAAAAGCTGTTTTACGATTAGGTGTTTCTTAGAGTGTAGCCTCCGATTCGTTCCATCTTAGGATCAAACTGAGCATGCACCAACATCCTGCTCTCTCGTCACGCGCGCTTCGGTTTCGCTGCCATATGGTCGCATGCTATCTCTTTGTATTTCGTGTAATCAATACGGCGTGACGCACGCTTAAAAAAAAGTTAACAGAAATATTAAACTGACTAAATAAATCGTTAATTTACAACGTGACCCAGCGCAGTCATATTTCAAAGATAGACGCCACGCAACTCATGTTTTCTGAACGTTTATTGTATGATTTGCTTATTGCTGCTCCTTGCTGCTGCTTGCTGTTGCTTGCTGCGGACACCAGGAATCACAAAGAGTGGGCTTACCAAAGAAACACAAGAAAGAAAAAGACCAAAGGAATTACAAAGAGTGGGCTTACCAAAGAAACACAAGAAAGAAAAAGACTAAATATTTGTTTTAGAAAACTGCCTTTTTTTTTGTATTTTCAATATTTTCTACATTTTCTGGAAAAATCTTTAAGTCGATCAACATGATTATTAAACGGGAGGCCTAGATGAATCATATAAAGATATAGCGATATCGGGTTATATCGAGTCAATTTTAAAATACAAGCAGGATATGTCATCTCAAAAGTTATGCGAAAATTTGCCACTGGGCTCGCTGTTGTCTGCGTCCCGACGCTTCCGCAACGTGCATCTTACAATATCAAAGTGGTTGGTCTTGTCAGACGTCAGAGAGTTTTCGCAAGTCGTTTTAGCACGTCCGATATCACTCTTGCTGCGCGCTTCATGTCATGCTTCGAAGTTGCAGCGCGACCCCTCGGTTCAATATCGTTCCATGGAAACGCCATCACCTATAACTTGAAAATATGCAAAGATCGCTCTTTACACGCGCTCTACGCTCAGCGTGACTATTTGCCTGAGCAGTTGCGTAAGACAAGTGTTTTCCAAGGTCACTCGCTGGCATTGCCGTGCATGCTTATACTAAAAATGAAAAAAAAAAAAAACCTACTCTTATTTCGAAATCAATTTTATAAGGGCCCTCAGTTGACGAAGAACATTATTGGCACCTAGTGACAAGGAATCTTGCGCAGCTTTAAAGCGAGGTAAATAGTCTACACCCACACTGTTTGAGAATCCTAGCTGTGATAATTAGAACTATTCAAGCGACGTTCAACAGTGTAAATAGCGATGAATGTTTTTTTGTTTTTTTTAAGGAATTCGCATTTACGTATGGCAATTTCTAAAATT